AATTCAGTTATTCAATTTGTAATAACCTCATTAACCTAGGTCTTGGACTTGTTTAAGTTTTAGTAGTAGTTAAAGCTTAGAAATCCAGCCTCTGGGAAAACCTCCTTAGGAATTCTATGCTTTTTAATACCAAGAATCAAGTTCTAATAAGAGATTTAAAATGAGGAATGTGTTCTCTTTCTAGATCCTCATGAAATGTGGTGTCTGAGTCAACTTAAAAGGCCTACTAATATATCCCAGCCAAACTTGTAGACTTTAGTTACAGTCAGCCATTAGCTAGGGTTCTTTATAAAAATTATAATTTTCGAAATGAAATGGAAGAATAACCACCAACCTATAAGCTCCATGGGTTGCCCTGGGTGGTGCAAATGGTTGAGTTCTTGGCTGCTAACCAAAATGTTGGAGGTTTGCATCCACCCAGAGGCACCTCAGAAGAAAGGCCTGGGGACCTACTTCCAAAAGACCACAGCCATTGAAAACCTAATGAAGCTCAGTTCTACTCTGAAACATGTGGGTTTGCCACAAGTCAGAGTCAACTCAATGGTCACTGGTTATAAGCTCCAAGAGGCCAGGAATTGTCTGCACTGGGAACCAAAATATCCTCATTTCCTAGCACAGAGCATAGATATACTTGATGCACAATCAATACACATGATGGGAATAAATGAATGGATTTTAAAAGAAATAAAGAGAAGGAAGGAAAAAGGGAGGGAAGGAGGAAGCACTTGAGAGGAAAGGTAGAGGAAAGATTCCATAAAGGTCCTGAATTATTCCAACATATTATTACATTGAACTATGAACTCAGATATTTACTAGAACATTTTATATCAATACATATGGTGCTTGCTTTTTCTGCCCTAATACATTTGCAAAAGGATGACAATGTAGGAGATTTACACGGGCCATCACTCAGGGCCAATTAACTCTTGACTTTTCTGTGCCAGCAGGAGACAAAGATGATACTGAAGAAGAAATCCATTTTGAACCTGAAACTTATTGTAGCTACTGCTTTATCTGCCTCTTAATTTTCTAGGAGTGGAGTTGCTGGACATTATCCAAAATCCTCTCTGAATTTGGGGGGATAGGAGGGATAAACGGCGGTCTTTCTTCCAGCCATTTCTAGACCACGCCAACCCCAGCTAACAAGAGGTTTGCATACCTCTCTGCATGTCTTCGTTATTGGCCCAACTAATGTTTGTTCAGTTTCTTTTTTTTCCCAAAGCACAATCCTTCTCTGTAGCGTCTAGTTTGCAAAAGCTGCAGGACTGTTTTCTTGTTTGGAGTTTCTGAAAGTCTGCACTTTCTTTTTCTAAACCATGTGGTATGCTTCCTGGTGTGTTCTAGGTCATCCAAAGATAAAAGCAGTTGAGAACTTGAAAGGAGGAAGCATCAAGCGGATTACTAATCTGAGATTTGATCCCTCAGTTTAGTTCTTGAAAGCGCTCGATTTTTGTAGGAAAACCATAGGGAGACAGAATGACAAGCATTGGCGTGGGAAAGCATGGTTTTCTACCTAATGTTCGTCTGTCTGTGTGGTACAGCACACTTTACTCTCCTCCGTCCACCTGTGTGCCAGCAAGGAGCAAGCGTGTCCGTGGACCCTGTGAAATGGACAGGCGGTGCTGGCTTTAGTCTAGTATCCGATGATTAGATCGTCTTTGTCGGGCACCCCTTGCCTCTCCCCCCTCTGATAACATCTTTAAAACCAAATTTCCACACAAAGGCAACATCTGGTCTCTGGTGGCCCATGTCAACAAAGTGCAGGCTGAATGAAAAAGAAACTCAAGAGGTAGTGTGTATGCATGGTGGGGGTGTCAGGACAGAATCCCCTACGTCCAGTTCAGTCCTGCTAAAGACTAGCTGGTTAGCCTGGAAGCACTTTGCACCTTCTGGGTCCCATCTTCAGCAGCTATAAAATCACGCTGGATTAGACTAGGTGGATTAGATTACGCTCTTGCCCAGGATGCCTGCTCCCTCCCCTCACAGCCGGCAGCAGGACCATGGGCAGCCAGTCCTGACCTGCCTCCCGTTCCTCTGTCCGACCCGCTCAGAGCCCAGCTCCTGGATCCACCTTGGCAGTCCCAACACCCTCAGGGCACTGAGCCTGGGCCAGGGAGCAGACTCCCAGGCACCACTGGCGAGGCCCCTCTGGCCCACAAAATGTAAGAATTTTGTCTTTGCCCTTTTAAAAAAAGGTATGAGCGTCAAGACTTCTCACACAGCATCCTTCCCTGAGTCCAAACACTTTAGCTGTCCTAGATCTCCCGAAGAGCAGGGCTGCTGCTCACAGAACCCACTCGGTGTGAACTAGCCAGAACCCGCCCCAGGCATGGGTACTCCATGCTCTCCCAGGGTCAGGATGCCCTCGGGGACCACCCTGTACATGTGGTAGGACCACCTCTGGTCAGGACCCCCAGGTGCCCCTCGGGACCGCCATGTGCATGTGGTATGACTACCTCTGATGTCCAGCTTCCACCAACATTTACATAAAATGCCCTTGACCTTGTGTTTGCTTGACGTTTGCTAATCTTCTCTGGAAAACCACATGCCATGAAGAAGGTAAGCAGCTGTTATACAAAGATCTTGGTCTTTAAAATAAATGTGTTTGAGCTGCGTATTGTGTTGCAGAGCCTCAGCCTGGCCAGATGCTGCTCCTGCTGGGGCCAGTGCACCAATGGACTGATGGACTGTGACAAGAAGCCTCCCATGATCCCTCCAGCCCCTCTCCTGCTTAGCTTGACGGAGAAGCTAGCCTTGCACTCCTAAACATGTCTCACCTGAGACAATTTTGGGGTGCCGGTCCCTTCCATGTGGCCCCTGAGGTAGTCCCCAGGGGTTCCGGACCACCCAGCTACCCTCTCCAGACTAGGCACTGAGCAGCATTGTCTTCTTTTGCAGGGAGCTGAAGGGCAGAAGCCAGGATTTGGCTACGGAGGCCGAGCGTCCACTTCAGCTCACAAGGGACTCAAGGGTGCCCATGACGCCCAGGGCGCACTGTCCAGAATCTTTAAGCTGGTAACGTAGCCCTTCTTCTTGGCCCCTTGGGTAGGCCTATAGGCCAGGGCTGAGATGGGTCCCTGCACCTTGCTCCCCCTCTCCCCAGTCTATTTCCAAGGAGGGGTCTCCAGGATAAACAGTGCCCCCTAATCCCCCACTGGCCTACACCAGGGGATGGAAAGAGTATCAGTTAAAACAAACATGAATTCCAAACTCCCCAAGTAACTGCCACCTGCAGTTCGCTATCCAGGGAATGTCTCTGACTTGCTCCTAACTGTGCCAGGCACTGTGGTGAGGGCAGAGCATGCTGGTGGGTGTGCCAGTGGAGGGGAACGTGCAGTGAGGGGCATCTCAGAAGTGGTACCACACTGACTCATCACTGGGCTTCTGGCCC